CCTCTAAATCCACCACAAGTTATTAGTGAAGAGGCATGGAATGGTTTCCACATATTTATTGGTAATAAGATGCAAATTGCAGGCGGTAGATTTAGGTCATTCACTGACTACATCCTCTAGGAAGCATCTGAAGTCCTGGCCATTAGGGGTCAAAGAGATTGGAGTGAATTGCTCTTTCCAAAGGTATTTTTCTTAAACAAAGCTAGAATGTCTTAAACGCGGTTCACAGATATCCTTAAGTAAATGTATTAGTACATGGCCTCAGCCAGGAACACTGACAGAGGTGGTTAGTGAAGGTTGGCAGCGGTTTGAGAAATCACCATCTGCAGCCATCTGTGCTTTCACCTCATCTTTCTTCTGACTCTCAGGGTATCAGTTGCAGCTTCAGCAGAAACCCAGAGCAGTCAAAGGGATGGGGATGACAAAAACAACCCGTCCCCAGATGTCTCAGAATAAAGTCCACAAGGGAAAACCCCATTCTGCACCATTAGGCCCTGATGTGGCCACACAGAAGGAGGTGTTGGGATGGTTATCCATGCCAGCAGAACAARCAGGAGATGCTGATACTGGTGGGGAGTGGGGAATTTAGAAGGGAAATAAAAAGGGAGGAAAATGAAGTGGATAGAGGAGAAGTGGATAGAGGATTGTCCTTCYACAACTCCACTGCTGCTCCAGTAAAATGCTTTTCCCAAGGCTTTTTTCTCAGTGACTTCTTTTTTTACTAGAGTACTTCATTTGGAAAATAGACAGATTTCTTCCACCTGCATAAATAATTTCCTACTTGTAAGACCCCCAAATTGAGAGAATTGTTTAAAAGCATCCTGTTGTTTACAGGTAGGTATGTGCTAAAGTAGTTAATAGATTAATGAGAAGAATAATAATAAAGAAGAATGCCTATAGTGGAGGAAGTCTATAGAAGAAAATCATAGACTARAAACACTTCTCAGGTGCCAATATGAGTCTCAAGCAGCAGGCACTGTAAACTGGGAGAAATGCAGAATTTGTTCAACAGTTTGGATGCTCTTTACAAACAAGAAGTAATGGATTTCAAGGCAACTATCAGGATGTTACTGAAAAAAATATAACTTTATTTTTCATAGGACTCATTTTTTTCCTTCACTTCTGTCTGAAGGACTACCAGAAAAGTGTGAGCATTTTGCTCGGCTTTTAATATATGTATCATTTTAATGACCCACTGCAGGTTGTTACTACCTGTCTGTCTGGCAGGAACAACCTAACTACCATGTTGATGAAATCATWCCTTCAAATATTATGCAAAATTATTTAACAGGAATAAAAAGGCCACCTGGCATGGTTACAGTGAAGAGAATAAAGAACAACATTTCCTTGAAGAATTTACTCAAATTAGGTTYGGTACTATGTGCTAAGTAAAGATAGAAGTTTCATGTTAGCATAAATTGATTATTAGTGTATACCTCCTATGTCATATATGCTAAAGGAGAAGTTGGTGGGAAAATGGAGAAAAATATAAAAAGGCTCATTCTTTTAATACCTTTCTACCCTTTCTACCTCAACAKAGAAAAGAAATGAAAGCTCCTTTTTTGACTCCCAGAGAATGGAAATGCTTAAGGTAGTGGGGGCTTTCTTGTGAATATCCAACTGCAGCTTAGAATCGAAGTCCTTATGTTCCAGTGGGTCTAATATATCCAAAATCCTTTGCTTAGAAAATRCAGACTATTTTCAGCACGCTTCATGTTAAAAAGAAGCCAATAAAGAAACATTTATTTTGTTTTCACTGAGTCATTAAGAGCATGGGACAAAAAAGACAGACGGTGATGTGGCATTTTTGAACACAGTAGATAGAGTAGACTACTACCAAGAAATTCAACCCTTAATGTCTAGACTGATTTGAAAATATTGGAAAGGATGAAAAAACTCCAACCAAAATAATCCAAACAGACAACACAACTTGGAACAAAATCAAAAAATCAGACTGAAATGAAATCGAACCCCAGGCAGTGCTGGAGATACTTTGATGCAGTTTGGTAGATCTGATAGGAGAACCACTGTCTGCTCCTGAACCACTTGCAAAGATTTGCCTCCACTGAGCTCTTCTCTCAGCCCAATTTCCCATCTTCTCAAGGGAACAGCTGGTTACTCCTTGTTTTAGCAGGCAACTCCTCTACCCCAGCTAACAAATCTTAGGTATTTTCTTCTCCTTAAGGWTGGGTTGTCACATCCTTGCCTTGGGCCTGATCTCATATCACTTGACCCTCTGTAAATGTGGCAGTGTGCCCCTGAACAACAACAACAACAACAAAAAATAATCCTGTGATTCTGACATCTGTCTTCAAATTCTTTGTTGGCTTTGGCAGAAATACATTTTTCAGCAAAATCCTTGGCCTGTGCTTTTCAGCCATTTCTGCCAAGCAGCAGAGAGACCTTGGTCTCATCAGGAACTCWGCTCTTTGACTCAGTGAGCAGAGGGAAATCACACAGGGCAGGGTGCCTTAGCAAAGGCAGAAATCTGTCTCCTTGATAGAAAGACATGAAAAATCTGATTTAGCATTCGGGAGCCCAGACAGGCAGGGCTGAGMTGACTTGCATTGTATAGGTTTCATTTAGATCCAGCAGGATCTGCGCAGTGACAGGTTCCTGTCCTTATTCAACAAGACCTTGAAATGCACCTTCAGCCTAAGTAGGTTGCTATAATCTTCTGGGGCCCATACCAGCTTTCCACTTAGGGAAATCAAGCTTTGAACTCCATGGACTGAAATTAGGTGAACAATTGCATATCTAGTCACAGGTATAAGAATCAGGGCATATGAAACAGAAAATGGAACTGGAGGCACAGTGAGAATCTGAATTTCAGGGTGAAAGGGGACATATATTGTGTGAACTGAAGAAGTAACTTCAGGACCCTTAGAATTTTARGAGACTCAATTTTTGTGGTTCAGCAAGCAAGGAAATGTGAGAGACTAGCATGACATATATTTCATGGCAGGTGACTTTTGCCACAAAGCCCCAGCATGACCAAGGCTAAAGAGGCCAGATGTCGAGAGGTATAAACAACCATCATGTGAGAGCCTGCAGTGCATCATGAGGAAAGGAGGGGAGCTGACTAATCTTGCTCTGACACTCTTTCTTAGTGTAAAGCCCTTTATAGTATGACATTCCTCAGCAGTCTCTCACACTCAGGGCACAAAGGGAAGGAGACCAGACATCCTTGGGCAACTGATGCTCACCATTAGCTTTAGAAAGCTGCCTTTCAAAACCCAAAATGCTCTAAGTCATCTTGTTTTCTTCTTTTTGAGGTTACACTCTAACCATCGAGGCAGTTCATCAATGCACTGCTGATAAACTTATTATCAACATAAATAGTTCCTTTTTCTACATCTGGAAGAAATGCAGTAGTTTCGGTTCCTCAAATGAGCTGAGGTGCTGTGGCAGTTCTTCGGGCCTGACTTGGTGGCACACCATCTTAACTTCATGGGAGTTTTCCATAGTCCTAGTTAAATAAGTAGATAAGATCCATCTTTTTTTTTCACCAACAGTACTACTGCATCTTTGTAAACAGATGTATTTTGCAAAAGCTAAAGCTCAGATGTCAGTGTGCTTTTTTTTTTTTTTGCATGAAAAAGCTTTAAAACACAAAGAAAATGAATATATATATGAATAAAACTACAAAAATGCAAACTCCTTTATTGCTTCTTCTGAAATACAATTTCTTTTCCATGTTTGCACTGACCAARTAGATCTGGAGATAACTTCTTGTAATCACACACGGAGCTGCAAATTCAAAAGGGTGGGCTGAAAGTGGAGTAAAGGACACCATTATTTTGGATGGAGACTAAGCTTCATTTTTTTTTTTACTCTCTCCTCCAGTCCTACTTTTTCACATAACCCACAATTCCACAACAACATGGAGAAGCAAATGAGTGAAAGTGTTGTGTTCAAAAAAGACACAAAATTAACTTGAAGAGCTGTAATGCTTGAAGAGTTGTAATGTTTGTCTGGTGTTCAAGGGGATACTGGTGGCTAGTAAACCGAGAAGGCTGAAGTGTACACACTGTGTATCAACACAAAGTGTGATGGAGAGCTGAGAAATCCACAGTGGCTGTTCCACAGTGGCTATACTGTGTCCCAGCTCCCGAGGGTTTGTCTTAACGTGCCCGTGGGACCACCTGGCCTCGCCGCGGGGGCACSAAGTGCAGTTTAACACTCAATTTAACATCCAAAGGGTGTTAAAACCCAGTACTGCGCTCTCGGGGAGCAGGGCCGGCGAGTGGGGCCAGAGGGCTGTCCCAGCATCAGGACCTTGCCCCTGGCCCCCTCCTGGCTGGGCTCGGGACAGGGTGATGCCGGAGCAGCGATGTTCCCTCCGAGGCGCCCCGCAGACCGAGCCGGGCCCGTCGGGGCTGCAGACTCCGCGCTCTGGCCCCGCACCGAGGCCGGCGGGGTCAGCCTGGGGGCCAGGGGAGGCGGCGTGTCCCGGCGGGGCAGGAGCGGCTCCCGGCGCACCGAAGGGATTTCCCCCCGCGCCGCGGGGCGCATCTTCACTCGCCGGCCCCACCGCCACGCCGACMGCAGGAGCGGCCGTAAACCGGCTTACGCCCAAGGCGATTTGCCCGTGATCCGCTGGGCTGCCCGGGCGGGAGGGGGCCGGGCGTGCGGGGCGCCCGGGACGGCGCGGCGGGCGGGCGGG